TGCTGCCCCGGGGGAGCCGTTAGAAACGGAGGAGGGGAGGCCTCCGTGAGACGTTAGAAACGGTGTCCCCGGCCTCCCCGTGGGCTCCCCGCGGCCCCGTCACTCGGGGCAGCTCCTCGCGGGAGCAGCCCCGTCCCCGCGCTCAGACCCTAGCGACAGCAGCGTTTTCGAAGCGTTTTTTGGCCCTGCGCACAAAAACGCCCCGTTTTTCGCTTGATGCTGAGGCCAAACATCTCCCTGCGCCGCTTGTGTTCCGTGTTATCCCCTTGGAGCATCAAGAGCCTTGGCGGGGTCGTTAATCTCTGCTGTAAACACTCATGCAGTCCTTGGGATACTAAAAACACTGAAGAGTTGAAGACTTGGGTGACAACTCGTTGCGTCGTCCACGGCAGAGCCCCGTGTTGTCCGAGTTCCCGTCGGATCCGACGAGGTTGTTTTGCACAAGCGAGTTCTGCTGGGCTGTTTTTTCCAGGGAGTATTTAATTACGCCTCGGAGGCCCGTGAATTAGACGCTCCCACGTCGCGCTTTATTTGCTCCCTCTCCTGCTTGCTAAAACAGAAACCGCTGCCTCTCGGGGAGCGCTCGCGCTGCGATAGGAGCTCGCGGGGACCAGGAAGTTTGCAGCGAAACGGCTGTTTGTCCCCGTCCTGCCCGGCGCTGCGGCTGGCGGGGACGTGACACGGCGCACGCGGCCGGGGTGGGCCCGCGTTATCGGTCCGTCCCGGCGCCGATTGCGCCTTGGCCTTGCGTGATCTTAAGGTCTGACTCTTGTGGACTGTTATTTCAGCGCAAGTTTAGCCCGGTGTTTCTTAGGAGTTTTAATCGCAAGCGGGAGTCGGAGCTGCGAAACTGTTCAGAGGACACAGGACACACTAAGGATAATCCCTTATCTTGAGCAGGGGTAAAGTTTTGGCTTCTACATGCTAACTTCCCCCAAAAGGTTTTTCTCAGCAGATGGAAATTATTAGTGAAAAAGTCAAGTATAACTTTGATCACTTGTGCCCCCATAACAACACAGGGTTTTTTTCATCATTTGCTAGTTTTTCCCTCCCTTCAGTGATGTTCAAATGGCCCCTACGTTGCCGAGATCCAGGTTTTCCAGGCACAGTGTCCCATGGTGACCAGGGCCGGAGCCACCTTTGCCGATGCAGCAGCTCGTGGATGAAAACAGCTCGGGGAGAAACTCCAGGGCAGGATGAAGTCGGAGCAGGTTCATCACCAGACGTCACCCGTGGGCAGGTGGCCGTGTCTCCCTGTTTAGCTGTTTGCCTAGGGAGGAGCCGCTTTGCTCTGTCACTAGATATGCCACATTTTCCTCGTTCTGAGCAAATTTGTGCGTGTTAGGCAGTGGCACCTGCCCTTTGATAGCGCCTGTATCAACAGACGCTGCCCAGAACACCTCATACGTGACAGGTCACTCTTTACACCCTGTTTCGGTGTCTCCTAAAGCCGGGGAGTTCCCGGTTTCTCCTCCACAGCCTCTAAGGGCTCCTGGGTTCCTGCAGTGCAGGGGGAGCTCGTTAGCTCCCTTGGTCCTGGATGAGCCGAGTGCTTTCCCATGGAGATGCCGAATGCCGCTCCGGGGGAACTCGTGGGTGTTCGCCGCAGCACCTGGGGATGCTCCGAGTTTCCATGTGGAAAAGATGAGCTTTTTAAGCTGCTTTAAGACGTTTCCGGTGGTGAATCATAGCGGCAGAACTAATTTCTGGGTTGTATTAAAAATAGAATCGGTAATTACTGCTTTTGCTGTTACTTTCTTCTATTGTTACGGTCTGGAGGAGGAAAGATGGGAGTTTGGAAAGTCGCACGTGGGACTCCTGCTCAAGGCTTCAGCCAGGGGGAAGCGATGCCGGCTCCTTGGTGCCGTTAAGGTGCCCAGAAATGGGTCTGATAGTGCCCAGCAGAGCAGACCCTTCCCAAGGGGGGAAGCAGGGGGTCTTCTGTGCAACCAGAAGTTAAGTTGGCAGCTGTAAACCAGGGCTCACAGAGCTGTTGCTGAGTTACAAGTATTTTTGAAATAGAAATAGCTGTGCAAAAATGACAACAAAAAAGAATCGAGGCTGCAGAACAAAAGTACTAAAGAGAGGATGAATTTATTAATAAAAGCCACTTGGCTTTATCTTTGCCTGGCCCAGCAGTAAAGCACAGGTTTGTTGCTGTAAGTTGCTTGCTAGTTTTTCCCTCCCTTCGATGATGTTCAAATGGCCCCTACGTATCCCTGAGGATTGTAAGTGCTTATGACTGGGCTGTGGAGGAGGGCTCAGAGTCAAAAAATGGAATCTCTTGATGTAGAGAAGTTCAGTGGTGAAGTCTTGGGGAGCAGAGAGCCCTGTCTGTCATTTGAGCTGTTTGCAGATGCTCTGGTAGGGAGAACTTGCTGCTCCACGACATGTCAGAATAAGGGGCTTCCATGAAGAACCACAAACCGTCCAGTCTCGGTTGGAATCAAGCCTTGGACTCCTGGAAGTTGTCTGGGAGCTGGATGCTGGCTTTTGGGGACAGCCTGCTTGCCACAATGCCACCAGCAAGCAGACACAAGGAGCCACGTTAAGATGAATCCCATTAGGAAGCCAGGAAGGAGGAGGAGGGTTCCAAGGAATGGCCAATGTCTTGTGAAACCTGCTGATGAAGTTGCCCAGAGTGTGAATTTAAGGATAACTTGCAAATGGACTTTGAAAATGTGTTACTTTTGGCATCTCTCGCTCACCCCTGGAAGTGCCAACGGGTTGTTTGATCCCGGGAATCCTTGTCCACGTGTCATCTGCCCGGGAATTTGTCAGCGGACGATGAGCGCGGTGCAAACGGCCTCTTCCAACACGGGGAGCAGCTGCTCGGAGCTCTGAGCCTGGCTCAGAAAATGTGAAACAAATTTCAAACGCGGCTCCGGCTTGGCAAATCCTATTGCTGTTGTGTGCGGCAGCACGTCCTTTATTTTGGGGGAATTTCCACTTAAAAGCAACTTTCAGAAAAGCGGTGTTTTTTCCCCCAAAGGCAGCACGTGACGCTCAGGCTTCCGTCTAGATTTCGGGGAATTGGTAGTCTCTCTCTTTGCTCTGTGGTGCTTGTTTGGCTTCTCTCATCTCCCATGCATTTCTAAGACAGAAGTCTTTAGAAAGGCTTTTAAAACGTGCAATTAGCCTCGCACTCGAGGGCACCTGCGGTGTGCGAAAGCACACTTGGCTTCTAATAGGCTAAATTTTGGGTTTGGGTAAAGATGGAGCAATTTTCCTCTTTCAGCTTAGAGAGAAGAACTTCTGCGCTGAGCGCGGGGTGGATCTCAAGGGTCTGTTGCTTAATCTAAACCCGTGGCCACGAGTCTGGGGAGCTCTTTGGGATGTTGGTTGTCTTGAGCGATGCCTGGGGTCACCACATTGACATAAGTCGCTTTCCTTGTCAGCATCAAGCAGAAAATACCGAGCCCCTAACTTCTAACATCGCGTCCCTCCGCTTTCAAATCACATCTCTTGCTTTTACTGGCCCTTTTACTGCTATTTGGCAATTTCTCCCTCTCTTGGTCCCAGTGGGTGTGCGGTCGGCGTCGCTCCCAGTGTTTTGGTGTCCCCAGGGTACCCAGCCTGAAATCCCCCAAGATTTACAACTTTTCCAGCGAGCATTTGCTAGGACTGTGTTGATCTTAGCTGCAGCCTGTGCAGTCACCCCGGGCTTGCCGATAGCAGCAGAGTTAATCACTCAATTTTTCTTTTTTTTCTTATTTCAGGTCGACACACAACGAGATGGAGAAAAACAGGTGAGTGTTTGAGATGTGCGAGCATCCGCGCTTGAAGGAATCTGCTCTTTTCCAGCCCGTGTCATCTGGGGCTCCTTCCCAGAGCTGTTGGAGACATGGGAATGTGAGTGGGGGGGATCCAAGGCCGTGCAGGAATCGGGGAGAGGAAGCAGGAGGGAAGGACGGGGCGGCGGGATGGGGTGTCACGAGAGCGCGCGGGCTGTGGCGTCACCCGCGCCAGCGCTCCGCCTGGAAGCGTTTCCTGTCCCCACCGCTACGACAGTGTCATAAGCAGCTGGGAATGCCGCCCGGTCGCTGGTGTGCGGAGCAGGATCCTGCCTCCCTGCCCAGCGTGGGCCATTCCACCGAGAGGAGCTCGTCACCGCGGGGTCTGTAGCCCCAGGAGCGGGTCTGTAGCCCCGGGGTGGCCACCGCACAGTGCCAGCCTGCCAGGAACCACCCCTGGTGCCAGCAGAAAGCCACGAGATCGGAGCTTTTCCCATCAGATTGATCCCAGATGGATCCCCTGTTTTGCAGGGCTGAGGGTGATGGCACTTGTGCCTTTTGGGGTGCAAAGACCTGTCCTAAACTATAGGTAGGAGCTGCATAAATAACTCGGTGTGCTGGGGGATGCAACGGCGAGCTGGAAACTTCCTTTATTAGAAAAGCCCAGTGTGTGTTAATTGTTCTGTGGCTTTTTAATGTGCCATTACAAGGTTTAAATTGCACACATCTCCTTAGTGAGCTCTTGGAGTCCAGCTGAGCTGTTCCTCTGTGGAATATTTTGCGTAGGTACAAATTCGGAGCCGTGAACGCAAATAACTGTTACTCTTTAAGACAGGCTGCTGCAGCCTTTGTCATCTAGCTGAAATACAGCTCTGTGTCCTTTACAAGCCTCTCTTTTTCTCCGTATGGCTTGGATCTGACTCAAATATTGCAGTGTAGTGTTGCCTGTTGCTGGTTGAGTACTCCTCCTTGGTTTGCTCTTCCTCTTAAGAGGCAGGAATGGCCATTTTAATGACAGGGGTTAGAAAAGGACGGGGCAATTTATTCCTCGTTTTGAATAACACAGAAAATCAGCATTTTCTTACTGAAAACCTGGTGCGTATTTAAAGCTCTAGCAGAGGATTCATTGCATCCCTCACCACCACATTGTTTAAACCAAAGCTGTGTTGAAATCCTGTTTACAGTGTTGCACAAGTAAGTACAGTAAAATTTCTGTTTTTTAAGCCCTTTGAAAAAGGGTAGCTGGAAAAAAAAACAGCTTATTTTTCTCTATGCAGAGACCACAGACCCCTTCTTATTTCTCTGCTAGTTGCAAATAGTTTAATATCCAGTTCTGCTGCTGTTGAGCTGCTGAATCCCAGCCTCGATCTTAAGATGTGGCTGACACTGGTGGCAAAACTTGCTTTCTTTCCCACTAGTTCAAGGAGCAGCTTAGCTTAATACTTGGAGAGCAAATCATGGGGAGATGGTATCTTGCCTGAACACTGGCATAATGAAATGCTCTGGCTGCCTGGCACGTGATGGACTCGAAAGATCGTTCATCACTTAAATCTTTTAAGCTTTTTTATCATTATTCTTTTTAACTGGCCCACGAGACTTCTGGGGCTTGACTGTGGCAGCAGTTTTTATTAGCCAAAACATGGCAGACGTTTGCTTGGCTTTTTTACAGCCTATGCTGTAAAAACTCTGAAGTGGAAACCGAAATTTTCGCTTTGGAGTTGGCCTTGCGTAAGGCCGAAAGTTGCTCCGTGTTGGCCAAGCGGTGCTGGGCGGGCGGCTCACTTCTGCTTTTCCCACCCTCACGTGTGTTCCTCTCCCCTATCTCAGTTCTAGCAGCAAAACGTCACTTCTGCTAGTGGATTTGGGGGAAAAGGGCCGTATTTTTAGTGTTTTTTAAAACTTTTTAGCACGCAGTCATGCGAGCTCCTTCCCACCTCCCGACTTGGGGTTCGATCGGACAGGTTTGTGCGACTCCAGCAAAATCCTCCCCCTGTTTTTGAACATCCTCTTTGTGGAGGTTCCTCTCCGAACCTGTCGGCGCTTGGGCTTTACCTGGGCAGCAAAGCCCACGTGTTTTCATAAGCCATAAGCCAGGAGGTGCTTCCCGTAGGCAAATCCCTGTTTACTCGCGGCGCGCGCCCGACGAGATAGGCAGGTAGTTGCAAAACCTCCGCTGGCAGCTGCCTGTCTCAATTAGCCCTTTCCGAGGCGGGTGTTGCAACCCCTGCCAAACGACGTGACCCAAATATCGGGGCCGGAGCTCCGGGCGCGAGGGAAACTCGGGAGCGTCGGCATCGGCCGGGGCTAAAGGGATTTCCATGCGGAGCCGTCGTTTCCCTCCTACATGAAACAGTGGTGTGAAAGCAACAAAGCATTAGCCTGTGTTTTAAGAGCATTAACTTGTATTTTAAGGTGTGCTGACTACGTGTGTCTTGGGGAGCGAGGGGGGCACCAGCAGACTTGGGGTTTTGCCTCCCCGATTGCTGTAGAGCCCATAAGGGCCTGAGTGAGGATTTTGGTTTGAACAGAGCTGCGACTGGCCAATTTCTGCTAAAAATGGGTAAAAGGAGGCCCTGAAAGGATGCTGTCCCCTTACATCCATGCAACGTGGACACAGACCGCTGCCAGCAGGACCGAGCAAAGGCAAAATGTTACACATGGGGCGAAGCTTTCCCTGTAGGATTGGGTTTTGCTATGTGTAGAGCTGGCTAGTTGGAATTAGCTGTTGTATATTTGCCAGAATCCTTCATCCTTTGAGGCTGTAGGTGGTTTGGAAGAAATTCCTCCATTCCTGAGTGGCTTTAAAGACCTGAGCTGGGAGCAGGGGGTAGGAAGGCACCAGCTCTTGTGCCAGAGGAATAAAACCCTAACCCAGGTGGCTGGGTTATTTATTGCATGCCTTAGATTCTAAATACCCTGGTTATCTTTGCCATAGCTGCTTGCAGACGCTGAGTGCTTCACAAACACTCTGTGATGTGTTGTGCAAACTCTTCTTCCTTTTCAGGCGTGCCCATCTGCGACTGTGTTTGGAGAAGCTGAAAGGGCTGGTACCGCTCGGCCCCGAATCCAGCAGGCATACTACCCTGAGTTTACTAAAAAAAGCTAAATTGCACATAAAGGTGAGTTTGAGCTCATTTCGTTGGGGGAAATGTCCCCGAGGAGATGTGTTTTGAGAACCTTTGTGATGCACAACAAGTTGTGCAAATAAAGATCCCTTTTGTCAAGGAAAGCTGCTGAGCTGCCCCTCTGGAGAGTGTGGTAGAACCCAAAGGGCTCCAAAAAGTGACGTTCTTCCTTTAGACCAAAACATCCCCAAACCTTTGGTTTGGTGCCTGCTGTAGCCGTTGGGTGCTCAGCTTTGCTCCCATGAGTGCTGATTTCCATTTCAAGAGCAGCTTTGCCACATGGATTTCCAGGCATCCTGAGCATTAGAAAGGAAAAAAGGAGCAGCTGGGGAAGGATGTTGTTAGGAAAATACTGACTTAGACTCCTGTTGTCAGAGGTCAGGGTTGTCTTTCTCACAGTTGATGTTAGTGGTAATGTGGCAAGTTAGTCCAACAACCAAGGCTTCTGCTCAGAGACATCGTTAGAGCTGCCTGCTGCTGTTTTAAAGCCTGATTCAGCTCTGGATTTTTAGGAAACCTAAAAGGTTTGAGTTTCTCCCTACCAAAAAGAGTTCTTTATTCAATTTGAAAAGCTCTCTGTGCCGATCTGGTGCTCTTCAGTCATTTCTGTGATTTCCCTCCTGCCCTTGCACTGTTGTAGCTACCCTGATTCACCTGCTTAATGTACTGAGTCTAGGCCTGGACACCCTTCATTAGGGAACAGAGATGGTGTTTGGATAATGCTAAGAAAGTGGTTTTTAGTCCTGCTGTGTGTGAGACT